CTTGGAGCTACGAAATAGAAAGAGTTGAAGCTCCCATCTCTTCTCCCTGCCAGTATCTCATCACTGCTGATAAAGCTGTAGAGAAAAAACCTCCTGGAGTCTTCCACCATCTACAGACTTAGAAAACTGCTTGTGTAGCAGTGGAACATAAACCACAACTGGGGAGGAGCAGGACCTAGACACCAGGATCTGGAGTGGAAGACAAAAGACCAAGGCTATTATTGTACTGGGGGCTGGGGATGGAGATTCGGATTTATAAGTGATTTTTTTTTTCTTTAGTTTTTTTTTAAAAAATGTTCCATTATCTTTACAACAAGAATACATGTTTTTAAAGCCAGGAAAAAAAAAAATTTGTTTTTATGACTGACTCCTTGGATTCAAATCAGCTCTTTAACTTGGAATAAGTTATGTTCTTAGCCTGTGCCTCAGTTTCTCCATGAAATCAGTGTGTTTTCAGTTAATACCTTGTTTACTTCCAAAATGACTTTAGATGACTTACAAGTTAAAACCCATTACAAAATAAAAGTATTTGGAAATAAAACAGAAAAGGATTTTTGAAAATATTTTAAAAAACCTTTCTTGTGCTACATGACAGCTTGTCATTGTGAGAAAACAAGAACCCCTGTTATATGTATTAAATTGTGAATCCTTTAAGTATTCATATTTGTGTCCTCATTGCTTTCCATTTTGTTTTATTCCTCTTTGCTCATTGAGAGATACCTGGCTGCCATAGGATTCAAGCTAACTGCCTGTTAGATTTTAAGGGCAGAGGATATTGGAAGGAAGAGGAGTGAAACCGCGATCCTGATACTCTCTGCAGGCCTGAAATATTTGACTCACAGGACTTGTTGCATTTTCCTTTCTTCTAGATACGAGCCGCTGATGCTAAGAAAGCCTGATCGCAGGCGAAGCACAACCCAGACGTGGAGTTTCCGAGAAGGGAAACTGACCTGTGGGTCACACGGTTTGGTTGTCCAGGTTAGTAGTTTTTGACATCCCCGGTTGCAGCAAGCAGTGGTTGAGCGTTTTTTTTTTTTTTTTTTTTTTAACAAAGTCTTAATTAGGATATACATGAGATGTTGAATGGGAAAAAAATAATTACAATGCAAATATGTATTATTTCATCTTAGGAAAACCACGAAACTTTGTGCATCTCTGCATATTCACACGGGAAATGTTATTGAAGGTGATATGTAAGAAATGTATTAGGAATGGTTGCTTCTGAGTGATGGTTTCTCTTTTTTTCCCTTGGCTTATCTGGATTTTTTGTCTTTGATGAGATAAATTACCTATATGTCATTTTAAAAAGGAAGAAGGAAAGCAAAATGTCAGCTAAAAGCCCACCACTAAGTTAGATGGGTTAGTTTTAGACCTGTGAGGTTAAAACCATCTTTTATAAAGTGTTCTATGAGATGGTGAGTAATCTTCATGGGCTCTGCATGCCCTAGATTCTGTTTACTTCTGCGTTCTCAGTGGTCCCCAAATAAACCTTTCGTTGTTGTAGCAAATGTCGAAATGAAGATTGCTGTTCAGTCTCCCCTGCCTTCAAGTCAGCCAGTCCCCACCCCGTGAAAAACTCCCAGGTACTTTATAAGCAAATGTGTGTTTGGAAAGTTCCAGGAATTTGGATTTTCTCTCCTTCTGGCTTCAGGCCAGGAATGAGACCATGGATCTGAGATGAGTGGGTAGGAAGGTGTCTCAGAGGTTTGGGCATAGAGCAGAACAGCACGTGTGACTGTGTGTGCAGTTCTGCCTCAGCCTGGGACTTTACCCAGAAGGTAAACACTAGAACTTCAGGCCCAGAATCTAGAGAGCTCTTAGTGTGTTTGACCCTGGTGGAAACCAGGCTGTCCTTCCATAATGGGAGCCTGTTCTCCGGGGGAGCGAGCAGAACTGCAAGGAGCCTCTGACTGCTGTTTGGTGAGATTTATTTTCTTTATCTCTCGTGCCCTGAGCTTTTTTCATCAAAGACAAGCTGCTTACTTATATGAAGCACACATCTGGAATGGATTTGTGATTTTCAATTAGCAATGCAATTCAGACTTCTAGAGGCAAAAGAGGGCTTGTTATAATTGTTGGGTTCCGTGTCTGACCCTGACTTCTGGTTTGTCTCTAAAGCCCATGTAATTCCAATTCTCTTAGAGCATCCTGCCCAACCCACCGCCCCCCACCACCCAACCAAAAAAAAAAAAATCCCTTTCTGGTGTTTGTTGTTTCTTGAATCTGTTTCATCATTTCTCTGAGTGACCCTATAATAGCAGTATTCAGCAGAGCAGAATGTGTTTTGGTTAGGGAAATAAACTTGTTACAATCTTATCATTCTGAATAGAATAATTGAAGGCATTAAAGCATTTTCTGACACTACCCTTATAAGGCTGTGTATGCACTTTCTTTCTAAACTTAAAACAGTTATAAAAGCTTTCTCCATGTTAAAGTCTGTCCTATAAACCCAGCTCAAGTTTTCCTTTTCATTACTCACTATTTAAAAACTAACAGAGGGGGATCTAGACACTTTAGCTATTATCTTCTCTAGCCCTGTATTCACTCTCCCAAAGGCATCATCCTGCAGACGTCCGTTTTACTTGGGGCATATAGCAAGAAGTTACTTTTCTCGAAAGGCCCGAATAACTGGCTATCAGATGACATTCACATTTCCCTGTTTCATTTTAGAAGAGGCACCATATTTTGAATTTTTGATTGTCCAGCCATATGCCTGTTTGGGGAGGTTTTCAACTCCAGAATTTGCTTTTTATTGGAAAGCTCAGTGATAGTGATACTTTTTAAATTTTCAGAATGTTTCAGCTTTTGAAGCAAACCCTAGTGAGAATACTCAGAGAAATAGGGTTTTTGGTACTTTTTTTTTTTTTTTTTTAAGCTTATCTTAATGACTAGAAGTTACTACTAAACTAATATACTGTATTCATGGAATTATCTTACCTTGAATTCCCTAAATTCACGTAGCATAACTTTCCATCTTGCCCAAGTAATCCTCCTGTTCTTTATCATCTGTAAAGCTGAAAAAACAGTAAATGCTTTGCTATATGTTGACCATGACCCTTCAGAAGAGAGTTTAAATCTGGTAACTTGTTTGAAATGACATGTTAAATTGTCAAAGTCAGTGCCTTTGCCTTTTCTTACACATCTTTACTCCATCCTGTAGGCCAAAGGAGGGCTTTCTGGTTTGTTTGACGGAGCTGAAGTTGTTCTTGGTCCGGACACATCCATGGAGCTTTTGGGGCCAGTTCCGCCTGAACAACAATTTATTAACCAAAAAATGAGGCCTGGTTCGGGAATGTTGTCCATCAGGGTCATCCCAGATGGACCAACTAGAGCGCTCCAGGTGATGATTTATCGTAAGAACTGACCTGAGTCTCATGGTGCTCCCCCCGCCCCCACGTGGTCGGTCATTCAGCAGATGTTTGTTGAAATATCCGTGTGGATGTGAGGACGGCGCGTCCTTATAAAGTGGGGGTGAGACCTGCCTCACAAAGTTGTTATAAGAATCAGAGTATAAGTAAAATACGAGATGGTTTTTAAAAAGTCTAAGAATTATTTCGTAATCACTTATAAGGGAAGAGAATCTGAAAAAAAAGATAAATATGTATGTGTCACTGAATCCCTTTGCTGCACACCTGAAACTAAAACAACATTGTAAATCAACTCTACTCCAATCATAATAAAAAAAAAGAATGAGTAAAAAAAAAAAGTATAAGAATTAAAGAAGATAATGCCAGGAACAGTACATATTATTATCAATCGTCATATATGTTTATTATATATTTAAATAATTGATATATTAATAACATTGACAACAAGGAGATATACGAAGTCTCTAATCAGATAATTAACATGTTGTGTTATGAAAGTAGGAGTGGAGGGTGCTAAGGGGCGTATCTGGAAAGGATTTGTATGCCCAGAGTTGGAGACTGGCAGGGGCTTCCTAAGAGAAGTCGCACTTAAGCTGAGATCGAAATGTTAACTGACGGGAGTTAAATCACGAAGGAAAGGTGGAGGGGCTGTGCCTTAAGAATGAGAGTATTCGTTCGCCAGTTATTAACTGAGCCCCTGTTAGAGCCAGGCACGGTTCTAGGTACTGAACCTAGACTAGTGAACAAACAAAGTTCCCTGCCATCTTGGAGCTTACATTCTAGTGGGGTAGATAAACCATGAGCAATAAACAAAATAAGTAAATTATATGTATATGGGAAGTTATATATCTCCACTGAAGGCCTGGAGATAAAGGAGAGTGATCCAAGTGGCACATAGAATATGCTAAGAAATAGGCAGGGGACCGAAGCAGGGGCCAGAACATTAAAAGCCTGATACATGCTAAAGATTTTGTGTTTTTTTCCTATGGCAACAAAGAGTCAGGGAGTGACACGATCAGAAATTTATTTTAACTTGCTCACTCTGGCTGCAGTGTGGAGAATCGGAGTGAAACTGGAGACAGAGAAAGACCAGTTTGGAGGGATCTGGATGAGAGATTATGGTGACCCGAACTAGAATACATGGCAGGGAGGTGGACATGAGGAGGAGGTTGGAGAGAAATGAATAGAAATGAAAGCTTGTTAGGGGGCAGAGTCAGTCAGACTTAGTGATTACTCGAATGTGCAGATGAGAGAGAGGAAGGAGTCGGGAATGGCCTTTAGGATTTTGATTTGGGCAGCTAGGAGGATGATAATCTCCATCACTAGGAGATGTACACAGAGCAGACTTCTGGGGGGAAATGAGGAGTTAAGTTTTGGACTTATTAAGTGTATGGTATCTACAGGAAGGTGTCCGGAAGTCAGTGTAAGTATGGGTCTGTAGCTCAGGGAGAGTTCTGTGCTGGAGATAACGGGTTTATCAGGCATGGGGAATTAGAGTTAAGGAAAAAGAAAAGATGTTGATGTGTAACGGCAAATTCTCTGAGATAGTACACATAATCCACAATATCTCTTTAAAAAGCACCTTTCTCTTAAGGCAAAAAATGAATGCCTTGATCCTGAGGTTTGCATGTTTTGACTTGAGCTATAATTCTAGATCACCTACAGATGCCTAACTCCCACCGTATGAAGCTCTCAAGGTCTACAGCTTGGTGTTAGTCATAGAGACTCAAGACCAAATTTGCTTCATTATTATATAAATCTTACCTTAGCAGTGCTTTGGAAACCATTAACTTCCATAGGATTATTGAGCATATAGTGACTTTGACTTACACAATTGGTATGGAGTGGGTTTCGCAGTGGAAGTTCGAGCCCTCTTAGTAAGTACAGTGTTTTATTTGACCGCAGATAACAGATTTCTCCCAACGGAAAAATGACCGTTCATCGTACGAAGTGGATGAACTTCCTGGTACGGATCAAGAGCTGGAGAAATTAAAGAATCCAGACACAGAGCAGGAATTGGAAGTACGTATTAGCTACTGCAGGGTCATTTCGTCATTACACATTTGTTTAGAATTTTTCTCTTTGGTTTTCTCAGTTGAGACCTTCTCTTTTCTTTCTGACCTCTGTGACTTCTAAGTATCAGTGTTACTTCATAGTATTTAATGTTACCACATCATGAATGTGTGAATATGTTACTTAAATGACAGCTCAGGTCAAATCAGAATGTAACAAATGTTGTTACAGTAAGATGAAAATAAAGAAAGCTAAATTATTTGAATTTAAATAGGAGTGAAGGTTGAGAATAAGCAAACTAGGTTTTATCTTTTTGGCCCCAGTTGACTCTGACATCTTCGTTTCCCTGGCCCTGTTTGGGCATTGGAAAGAAAGTGAAAAGTGTGGAAAGGAACATGAGATAAGTGTGAAAAAGCACATTATTCCATGTTTATTCAGTAATCTTAACAACAAAGCACCTATATGTAAAGCACTGTATTGGATGTTATAGAAGTTTGGTCAGTAACTTAATAAGAGCTTGTCTCTCAAATAGGGACAAAGATTCTCAAATGATTACTTTCCTGTAATGAGATGCAGAATGTCATCAGTGCTCCGGTAGAGGTGTTATCATATCACTGTGGAGTTCTGGTTGGGGTGGGGAGTGTGCCTGGAGAGGAGGGCTTCTAGTGAGATGATGGAATTTGAGCCGTCAAGGTGAGTAATACAGCTCCTACATGGTTTTCATCTGCTTAGAGGCAAAGTAGAGGGATTTAAAGCCATTTATTTCCTTGTCCTCTCCTGGCTACCTTGAGCTCTGTTTTAAACTGTCAGTGTGCCATATTTTGGTTTCCTTTCAGGTGCTTGTGAAGTTAGAAGGTGGAATTGGGTTGTCTTTAATTAATAAAGTCCCAGAAGAACTGGTCTTTGCAAGTCTTACGGGAATCAATGTGCACTACACACAGCTGGCCACCAGTTATATGCTAGAACTCAGCATACGGGATGTACAGGTGAGAGGGGGGCGCTTAGGACTTGTTGATCTCCTTTTCTTCGTGCTGAACAGCCGACCAGATCAGTGTTTGATGTTCTAAAAACTTTAGTACTTTGGCACAAATTTCTTGTGGTCTTCAGAAAATCGTTCTATGAAAAGAATTCTTTTACCTGTATTTGTCTTACTAATTTTTCTGTAGAGCAGAATTCTGAATATAGCAGCTAGTCCGTCAGTAACTTAGATAACTTGGTCAAGGTGGCATGGAGGAAGGTGACCCATGGTCCCTCATCTTGCCAATAGAGAAAACAACGGAAATCATCTAACCATAATTTAGAGGAACTGAAGTTCACCATAGGGAGAAAAACAAGGTAAGTGGACTTGTGCTTCCGACCAAGGTGGAGTAACAGAGACCTGATTTACTTTCCTACCTGAAGCACCCCCAAAGTCCAGATCAAGTAAGGAGACAACAGATTCAAGACACTGGACATCAGGCAACAAAGGACAGTGATCCCTGAGAGGTGGGAAACAGAAGAGGTGAGCCCTGCAATCACCCCAGCTTGCTGCCTTGAAAAAGTTTCCAGGCCATGTCACCAGGCGGAGAGACTGAGACAGAACCCAGCAGAGTGGATGAGCTGAACAGGGTTAAGAGTCCTAGGACCAAGGCAGCCAGAGTTCATAGGACAGCAGACCTGGGAGGAGCATGCTGCACAGAAAGAAATCTCAGGAGATCTGCAGAGGGCCCCGCAGATGGTCAGCAAAGGACAGATGAGAGGAGCCTACCATCCGAAAGGGTCATAGCACCGGTCACAGCACCGGCTGCTCACCGCCAGCCACACTGGGAAAACTGATAATTATGGGACATTGGGAGGAGCCTTCCAGAAAGTCTTGGGCCTCCGTGGTGAGCTATGTGCCCTAGGCTGAGCACTGCTCCAGACCTAGCTAACAAATCAGTCACACAAAAGGAAACTCTGAAAGAATCAAATCTGTTTCCAAGTAAATTAACCATGTCCCTGAACAACAAAGCTCAAGATTTAATGGAATACAGAAACATCCAGCGCCCAACAAAGCAAAAATCACAGTGTGTGGCATCCTATCAAAAATTACCAGGTGTGCAAAGGGGTAGGAAAACACAATATATAATGAGGAGAATAATCATTCAGAAGTAACCCAGAGCTAACACAGTTGTTTGGATTTTCAGAGAAGGACATTAAAACTCATTGTAACTATTCTATTCTACATGTTCAAAAAGTTGAGTCAGAGACATGGAAGATATAAAAATCTCAAATCAAACTTCTAGAGATTAAAATGGAATGGAAAAAACACTGGATTTGATCTGTAGCAGAGGACACAGTGCAGAAAAAATGATTAGTGAACTTAAAGACATAACAAGAGAAACTGTCCAAATTGAAATACCCAGAGAAAAATAATCCAAGGGGAAAAAAAACCCACAAAGAGACCAGCATCAGTGACCTATGAGAAAACTTCAGGCAACCTAATATATGGATAATTGGAGTCCCCAGAGGAGAGACAGAGAGGAGGAGACAGAAAAAAAAAAAAATTGGAAGGAATTTTGTACTTATTATGTTTGTTAGAGGGTTTTGTTCTTGTTGTTAGGTAAATGTCTGCCTTTTTTCTTTTTTTAAATCATGAATAACTTTTAAAAGTCATGAATTAGGGACTTCCCTGGTGGTCCAGTGGTTAGGAATCCGCCTTCCAACAAAGGGGACGTGGGTTTGATCCCTGGTCCAGGAACTAAGATCCCACATTCCGAGGGGCAGCTAAGCCCGTGCACCCTAACTATTGAGCCGGCGTGCTCTAGAGCTCGCGTGCCACAACTAGAGAGAAGCCCGTGCGCTGCAGTGAAGGATCCTGCATGCTGCAATGAAGATCCCATGTGCTGCAATTAAGACCCGATGCAGCCAAATAAATAAATAAACATTAAAAAAAATTTAAAATCATGAATTAAATTCAATTTTATTTTTTTTTCAAAAAAAGAGATTTTGACCATAGGTTTTCCAAACTTAATGAAAACTATAAACTCACAGAAGCAGCTCAAACACAAATCCACATTCACACCGTCCCCTGCGCCTCCCCCCTGCCCTGCCACACATACGACACGAAGGAAACTGTACCAAGGTACGTCATAATCAATTATTCAAAACCAGTGATAAAGCATCCATATTAAAAAAGCCACGTTCTTCACAAGGAACAAAGGTGAGAATGACAGCCAGTTTCTTATTGGGAACAATGCAAGTGAGAATATGGTAAGCAACATCTTTAAAGTGTTGAAAGGGAAAAAAAAAAGCTGCCAACCTAGAAGTCTGTGCCCAGCAAATATATCTTTCAAAAACAAGGGTGAATTAAAGGTGTTTTTAGACATTCAAAAACTAAAAGGACTCATTTCCAGCAGATCCACACTACAAGAAAATGTTAAAGGATTATCATGCCAAAACCCCTTTTCAGAAGAATTTTTTCTTTCATCATATATCACAAATAGCAAAGAGTTCAGGCTAATGACATCCCATTTGTTTGAGGATCAAAAGTTAATATCTTGCACCTCTATTTCTTTGTCTTTCTTTTTTGATCTTACAGAGAAGATCCGAGGAATCATTTGCTGTTCGTCAATTTCATTGACTTTTTACTGTAATTAAAAAGATTTTTTCTTTCCTGTAGTACGTCTTGATTTCATGTGTGCTGTAAATTGTAGAAAATAAATAGATTTGAGAGTTTACTGTGATTACAGTGCTATGAGGAAGAATTTTTAAGAATAGAAGATATAGTCCCACCCTTAGGGAGTGTCTAAATCTAATTGGGAGACTAAAACAAGAATCAGAAATTCGCAGTTAGTACACTTGTATCAAATGTGTTTGGGGAAAGAACAAAGAAGAGGTCAGAATAAGGTGAGACTTTATTGTCATTTCTATTGGGGGTGACAGGTGATTCATTTACTGGGTGAATTCTGACTGAGTTATCATCTGTGTGCTGGGCATGGCACTGGGCTCTGGAGATACCACCATGACTCAAAAGATGAAGTTTCTGCTCTCTGAGCTCACAGACTAGGGAAGAAGTCAGCCAATAAGTGAGCGAGCGAGCAAATAAATAATTCCAACCTGGGGTAGCTGCTGTGAGAGAATAAAGAGGGATGCTGCTGCTTTAGGTAAAGTGGCCTAGGAGGGTCTTCCTGAGGAAGTGGGAGCTGAGCCGAACTTGGAAGAATAGAACGAGAAAACCAGAGAAAAGGTATACTAGGGGGAAAATGTTCCGGAAAATTCTGAGGGAGGAGAGGCTTGCCCATCTTTGAGCAACAATGGGGAGGCTTGTGTGCAGGCATGGTGGCGAGCCTGGAGGAGATGGTATGTAGTGAGACTGGATCAGGTGGGCCCTTGGAGGCTGTGCTGAGGAGTGCTGTCCTGTCCTAGGAGAAAGGGAAGCCACTGCAGGGTGTCCAGGAAGGAGGGACATGATTTGTGTTCTTGAAAGATCATTTTGGCTGCTGTATAGAGAGCACATGGTAGGAGGCAAGAGCGGAAGCAAGAAGAAGTGCTCTAGGCCCCTCGCCCTTCTCGCTGTACCTTGAGAGCCAACAGAAGGACCATCTGCAGCGACTGTACAAAATGGTTCTGTGGGAACCCATGTGATACAATGGAAAGGTCAAGGGCTTGATGCTCGAGATACCTGCATTTGAATCCCAACTCTCCTGCTTACTATTATACCTTGTGAATGTGGGCAAGTAATTTTAACTTCTCTAAGCTTCTCTGTTTTCTTGTCTGTAAAATGGGGAGGAATAACACTTAACCTTTAGGGTTGTAGCGAGGGATGTGTTAGGTGATGTGTAGGAAGTATGCTTAGGGGTACCCGGCACATGTTCTCTCCTCTTTCCTCTTCCTAGTGTGGGCCTTTAGGGTAAAACAAAGTAAAGATGCTTGCTTCCTGCCGTGAGCCTCCGGATGTCCATAAACTTACCTGAGTGTGGAGAGTGTGTTCTCGGTGATGGTGCTGATGTGGGGGATGAATAGAGCAGTCCCCGGTGCCACTGCTTTCGTCACTCCATTCCTAGAAGGGAGTTGACTTTAGGATGGGCAACTGTGCCCATTTGGTAGCCATCTGCTACTGATTCTCTCGTTTGAGTTCTTCAGGGAATTTGGAGCAGGAGAAGCATTGATAGCCTAGTGGTTGAGAGCGTTCGCTTTGGGGACAGAGAGAAGTGGAGTCAAGTTCTCGTTCTGTCATTGACTAGGTGTACACCCTTAGGCAGGGGGCTCTCTTCTCAGCTTCTTTGTCTGTGACATGAGGACGGTGATGGTCCCCAGGAGGTTGTGGTGAGGATGCAGCAGAGCCCTGAGTTTGATAACTTGGACAGGCTGGCCGTTGTGGGACTTGATGAGATAATGCTTGTGAGGGGACCAGCTCGGTCCGTGGCACACAGCACTCACCAAGTGAAGTATAGCTCCTCACTATTGCTATTATTGTTGCTGGTTTTAGTGAGAATATATTTTTCCAAAAGTACTTTCTGAATGACCTGCATATTGTGAGAGCTAGTTAAAGGTAAAAATGAAAACTGAGCAATTTGTCTGTTTTTGTTGCTGCTTTTTCATGTCCTAGGTGGACAATCAGCTCCTTGGCACCACGCAGCCCTTCATGCTCTTTGTGACTCCACTGAGCAATGAGAATGAGGTCATTGAGACAGGCCCTGCTGTGCAAGTGAACACGGTGAAGTTCCCCAGTAAGAGTGCGCTGACCAACATCTACAAGGTAGGCTGGTGGGCTTGATTTGTCCTCTCGCAGCCAAGGCTCAGAGCAGCAGTTCAGGCTGTGGATGGAAATAGTCCAGTGGGGGTAAGGCACTAAGCGACTCGATGTGTTGTGTAGCGGAATTGATGGAAACTCCTCTTAAAACTTCAGATTCTCAGTTGTGTTGTCGATGATTCAGCAGGCAACAGTACTGAATCCATAGGGGCCAGAGTCTGTATTCGTCAGCGTGAAGTCTTTGCAGGAAAGTATAGCACCTTCTAGATTGGTCGTGACCAGGCACGATCTCGATATATTATTAAAATAATAATCCAAAAATTAGCACACAACATTGTAAATCAACTATGCTTCAATAAAATAAATTTAAAAAAATAATAATCCAAGACTACTGGAAAAGGGATAGGAGGGGCCTGACCTTGGGACAGGCATCCTCCTCTGTAAGCTGCCACACTATTTACTAAAAGCAGATCATTCAGAAGTGATAAACTTTCTTTCCTGGAGAAGTCTTCACGTACAAGCTAGCGTTACAACACCAAATTCTGGAAAAGTGGGAGCTAAGACGTTGCTTCTCATATTTCTGGTCCTTTGTCACCAGCGCCAGTAGGGTCAAGCCTGCCTGTGGCCCTCAAATTCACAAGCCCAGTTCTGCTCCTTAAACTAGCTGCTGTCCATGTGAGCTCAGTACCATATACCACCGTGCATCTGAACGTGTAATCCTGACTAACCAGACACAGATGCCCTGGGAACCAAGCAATAGGATGGTGAATCGTCTACTAAACATCTTCTGGAATTTTTGATTCATTATAACAATGTAGAGAGAGATGAGCCAGAAAAAATTTGGCAGTATGATTATGAAATCACATAAGTAAAGAGACCACGCCATATCACAGGGGCCTTCTTAGGGCGCGGATGAGAGTTCCTCTGGCATTCGCACTGTAAATCAGAATTTCTTTATCTCTAGCATCTGATGGTCACGGCTCAGAGATTCACGGTACAAATTGAGGAGAAACTGCTCCTCAAGCTGCTGAGTTTCTTTGGCTACGATCAGGCAGAATCAGGTAATGTCGAATGTTCTAGGTGTGTATCTGGGAATTGGCCCAAGGGTGGCATTTTTTAGTCTGCTTGTGAAAATAGGTGGCCCCTGAATGCCTGGCAAGCTCCCTGTCCACTTCATAGTCTGAGCTGGGAAGCTGAGGTTTGTGGTTCAGTTCTCTTTCTAAGTATTGCTCGTTGACAGGTATTGAGATGTATCTGTGTACGAAAGAAGCTGCTCCAAGGGCCTCTGGTGTCCCAGCATACCCAGGGGCAGGCTTTTGGGAAGCAGTATATTGTTCCTCTTTTTTTTTCATGTTTTTTGACTCATCTGCTTTAAGATGGCAGAAATGATGTTAGTCATTTAGCAAACCGCTTTGTTTCCTAACAAAACCAGCTAAACCTTTGTTTATTAAACAGATTCAGGGCCAAGAATCAGAAATCCCTTCGGCAGTTCCTTTGGTTTAGCTGAGGAAAAAAAATTGGCTCGTCTCAACTCCTTAACTTTTTTTCACATCCATACCCTTATGCCTTAATGTAATTACAAAGGTTTCTAGTTACGTTACTCTTCTTTGGAGAGGGGAGTAGGATAAGCTTTTGAAAGACCTAAATTTTCCAGCAGCGCCACAGAAATTATGTAGCTGTCGTCTCTTTATTTTAGATGCCTCATCATGGCCTTTGCTAGACTGTCTATACAGCTTAGAAAGAAGTCAGTAATTCTTAGTCTTTTGAAGACTAAACTAAATACTGAGCCTAAAGAAATGATAAGATAGAGACCTTTAATGTTCATCTGCCCATGTAGGCTAAAGGGGGAAAAAAACCCCTGGGGACGTGTGTACATATGAACATACACGCACACAATGCAAGAAAAATATTTTTGCTCTGTTTATCCCAGACTTAGACTTTAAGCTTTAAGTGTATTTGGGATCAGGAGCAGATCCTGTCTGTTTAGTGCTGCGTTCTCCACTTTGGGTCAGAACGCCAGTATTTATTTGTGTTCAGAGAGCCACTTGAGCCTGCCTGCCAGGTATCTGTTCTCTTTGGTACCTTCCTGGGAAGTTTTACTTTAAATTTGATTGGACACGCTTTTCTTGTAAGTTGCTCTAAATAAATTTCTCCCCAAGCATTGTCTAGTGGATTTAGACTCTTTTGTAAAATCCTTGCCAGCCTTTCAGTGAGGAATCTCCTCTGCCTTCTATAACTATTCCTGTTCCCTGAATACAGATAAGCCTATCTCTGTTGTGGTATCTTCTTCTTTTTTTTTAACCTATTCCCTTCTTTCTATAAATAGAACTATATAAAAGCTTACAGTATAAATTTGTTTGATGTGTAGATATGTACAGTCTCTTTGGTTTTATTTCTAAAAGCACATGAATCCAAGTGCAAATAAGCTGCCCAGATGGGTGTGGGGACAGCATCAAGTTGAAGACCACATTGCTGTGTTTTAGCCTGTGTTCATCCCTTTTACTTCATGAGGTAACAAGTGAGAAATCGGCCTCCACTCTGCTATTTAAATGATGTCCACTGTTTGGGAGAGAGAGCCACTTGTCCTGATGTTGGTTCTTTATAGCCTGCAGCCTGTTTCTTTTTAAGGCATTATGTTTCGCTCAGATTCATCATTTAATTGGTCATGTTGTGCATGATGATTCAGTTAATCTACACTCCAAGTACTTATTTAGATATCATTTTCTGAAATAAATTCAGATAATCTGGGTCATTTATAATAATAATGATAACGACATGGTTTCTAGAAAACGCATCGCCATCAAGCACACCCATGACCTTTGGCTTTCCCACCTGGATTATTTTTTCCAGGGATGATACCTCCCAGATGGTAATAGAGTCGCAAATCAAAAGATTAAGCTATTGTACTTTTTGGGTCAGCAACATGAACCAGATCTACTTTTACAAAGAAATGGCATCAGGATACTGTACATATTACTGGGCCCTAAAAAATTAAATTTAGACAAATAGACGTTTACATTTTTCTGTGAGTTTCTTTTCAATGTGAACGAAAGTATTTGAATCATGAGACTTCAGAGGAAACTTATTTTTCAAGAAAACAATTCTACCTTTGTACCAGAGGTGGAAAAATACGATGAAAACCTCCACGAAAAGACAGCTGAGCAAGGTGGGACGCCAATTCGATACTACTTTGAAAATCTCAAAATCAGCATCCCCCAGATCAAGCTGAGCGTGTTCACCTCCAACAAGCTACCACTGGATCTCAAGGTGAGCTGCTAGCTGGGTAAGTTTTAAAAATGACTTTTCCTTGGAAAAGGATGCGTGTGTTTACCGCTCGCTTTTTCCGTCCAGCATCATCATTTGTAGCAGATATTTTTACAGGTTTTCTTTTTTGAGAATTTTTATCGACTCATACGTGTATGTACATATGTACAGTTGACCGTTGAATAGTGTGAGAGTTAGGGGCACCCACCCCTCCTCGCAATTGAAAATCTGCATATAACTTCCGTTATGTGCAGTTCTGCATCCGAGTAAACGGTTGAAAAAATCCACATGTCAGTGGACCATGCAGTTCAAACTAAATGTGTTGTTCAAGGGTCAACTGTATATTTCTTTTCTTTTCTTTTCTTTTCCTTTTTTTAATGTTTAAGTATGACTTTGCTAAAGATTAAAGAGTAACAAAAGAGAGTAAACACAGAATTACATAAAACCCCATCTGCCCTCTGCTTAGCTCTTGGCTCATCTCAGTGAGGTAAAAGCCTCCTTTCCTAGGGCCGCTCCCAGACTCGAGAGAAAAGCTGTAGCCAAGACAATATCTTCTTTTTGTGCCCGAGTCCTGCCTGCCCTCCTTCTCGCCTCCTAAGTACTCACCTCTTTTTGAATGGTTGACGGTGGAAATGTCTACTGCCTTCAAGGATGACGCGGTCACTTACCCACCAAGGTGTGGCCTCCCCTACCCACCATATCAGGATGGGACACTCCTACAGAGCATCTGGATATGCACTTGACAGATACAGTCTGAATACCATCTTTATTTTCTGCAGTAAAATCTATTAAAATTAAGGGATGCTTCTAGAATTCAAATCCAAGCCTATCTGACTCTAAAGTTTATGTACATTTTACCCCTATGCTGTGCTGTCCCTTAGAACATAAGGAGGCAGAGGATTTTAGAGCTCTGTGAGTCCTTAATGATCCCCTTGCTTGATGAACAAGGATATTGGAGTTCACAGTGTTTTGTCACTGAAGCCTGTGCAGTTGGAGCAGGAGTAGAACCCAGGTGATTGTTGGAAGGTCCTTCCTTAGGCGGAGTCTACATCTGCCTCCCTGCAGCCTGCGCCCCTTACTTCTGGTTCTTCCTCTGTTGCACTTGAAGATGGGTATCAGGGCATCTACCTCCCCACTAACCACCGGTCGAAGGCTTTCCCGCTGCCCCGTGCTGCCCCCTTTAAGATGCTGCAGGGTGGTCTCTCTTTCTGAACAGGAGTAGCTAGAGACGTGGACAAATAAGTAATAAACCTGGAGTCATAAATTTCCATGCCTGCAGGGACTGTGCCAGCAGTGAAGTGGGTGAAGCAGCCCCGGGGGCACCGTGGCCCTCAGAGTGTGCACTCTTCATCTGACGGGGCCAGTGCAGCTCAGCTCCAGCCAGTTGTTAATGGGGGAATGTGAACCCAGTGTTGCCAGGTCTTCGGATTTTTTAAAGTGAAGCCGGAAATCTGGATTTTTTTGTGGAATCTCCTGGTTTTTAAATGTTGGCAACCGATTTGAATTTTTTTGTTTTTGTTTTTAAGCCTTGTGGACCTAACAAAACACATGTGTGGGCCTCATGTGGCCTACAATTTGCCAGCTCACAACTTCTAAAATAGACTTATAGGTAACAAGACAGTAGTCTGGTCCAAATCAAACCGTTTTTGGGTAAGGACAGGGCAAGGGTGACTGCCTCATTAAGGCAGCAAACGGGATGAGTAGTTGGGAATGCAGGCCGGGGCCGGGGAGCTCCTGCAACCATCCTGAGAACAGTGCCTTCTCCATGGACTGTCCTGTCTGCTTAATTAGCTTTAACTTCACGTTTCCCAGGAGACTAAAGATACTTATAATTAGCATGGGAGTGGGGGGGGGGGGGAAACATGGGAAAACCACTATCTTGCTAATATCCACAAGTATCCACTTGACTTACGTGACCCTTTGGAATGGGTTTGTTTGATAAAGTATATATTCCCCCAGAACACTTGGCACTCACCCAACAAACCAATGTCGAGCATTTCCTGAGAGTTAAGAAGGACTTCTTGTTTTCTAAATCATCTTACTAAGAAACACAGACACCTAATTGTTCCTTCCAAATTGCTCCTGGTAGAAGACTTCCCCCCAGACTAACAAATGCAGTGCGATTTTCTGCAGTTGACGTAGCTTCAGGCCCCCAGTTCCTTGGCATTGAGGCTTGCGTGCTCGCCCTGCATGCAACACACTGCATGCAACACACTGCATGCAACACACTGCGAGTCGTTTAGGTTGAGTGTTTCATTTGGCGCTCTACTGAAGGAACATTCTCAAGGCGTTTTTCAAATGATTGCTAAACAGATTCAGTGGAGCAGCCACGTTATGGGGTGTGGGGCGGGGGACACCCTGAATGTGGCACCTTAATGTTTCAAACAGGGTGCTGGGAATTGGGACGTCAGAGTTAAATTCTCAGCTTACAGAAGTCACCATTTTATTGTGTCTTGCCTTCTCCTCGAGGAGTCTGGGACTCATAAAATAATGTCATTTATTCAAATAGTTTTCTAACAGAGTAATATCCCTTTATTAGTAGCTCTTAGGAAGAGCAGTCTGCTCTTAGAGATGAATATGTAACGGCTAAAAGTATGTGCTTAGGAAATGGAGTCCTGTCCCAGAGCAGGAATCATGAGAGTCTGACTAAAAGGTAACCATGTCTTTGGTATTGAAGGCATAATTATCTCGATTCTCTTGACTCCAGGCCAGAAGCGAGGCTGTCAGAAGTCTCAGAGGGAAGTCTCTTCAGGTTTACGCCGAGGGTACATTATTGCCAGATAGAGTGTCTGTTCAGAAGGACTCAAAGCAGTTTCACATCTGCTATCTCAATTGGATTCCTTACTCTGTGATGGAAGAAGGGGGAGATAATAGTTCCATCTCACAAATGCAGAGACGAAAGCACGGCATTCCCCGCGCCGCCCCCATTCGCCATTATTCTCCCAAGTTTGCATGTTAGAGAGTAGCAGAATAATATTGAAAGTGCCAGGTAGTTTATATGTTCTTTCGGTTTTCTTAAAGATCAAAAGAGTCCAGGAGCCTTTAAAAGGTTTCATAAGGTGGCCTACAGCAGCCCTTTTTCCATTTAGAGCATTGGGGTATTACAAAAGAAGGGCTTTAATTGAGCAATCTAGTTTGGAAGGAAACCCACATTTTAATGGTCAGAGAGCAAGAGGGTGGGGGTGAGGGGGAATTTCAAACAAAGACACTATTTAAAAAGCCTAAAACTGTCTTCTCAAAGGCTTGAAATAATTTGTTGGGAAACTTCAGACCCTTTACTTTTTCCTCCCCTCCCTAAATAAAAACCAGATTTGTTAAAAGGAAAAAAGATCCAGTATTGTTAATTGTATTTCAGAAAGTGCCAGAGAGGGAAATATCCCTGTAGTTTTAAACACTGTCCCAAGAGGGAAGTGGGCAAATACGCTGCTTCACATAAACAGTCTCTATGTACCATAAATAAACCTTTAAAGAATGAATTCCAGACAGTTTTGTTTAGTGCAGGATAAACTAAGAAAGGAAAGGACATGGCCCAGGGACTAGCTTGTGATCTGAGACCTTATGGCATATGGACAGGTATTTCTTCTTTCAACTCTATAAAGTTTCTGGAAGACTTCAGCGGTTGTTGTCTGGCGGAAGTAGGAATAGACATTTTCCTATTTTTATTAGGAACTTATGAGCACGGATTGCTTTCTCCAGAATCCATTTTATAACAGGAAACTGTCTGCTACTTGAGTAAATAAGCATCAGCCTTGTATACTACTGTATTTGATTAGTCATTCAGTTACTACAAGAAAAAGCCCTGTTTGGCTCGGAAAGAGGGAAACTCTCATCTCCCCTACTTTGACTCACCAGCACAACCTGAAGGTGGCGGAGTAATTCATACCAGTGGTGCCATATCTCAGCTTTTTCAAATGTGGGAGGCCCCAAAGCAGTATCAGGTAAAGATCATTTTTACTGAAAGGCCAGAGTACTTCCTTGGTTCAGACAAAGCACGTTAGCCGCTCAGAAAGGGGATAGTGTCTCTCATGAGGGCTCGGACAACTCAGTAGAGGTTTCGAAGGCTTTGTGTTGTGTGTGGTTCTGCTTCTTCACTGTTTGGTTGCAGTGAGAAAGTAGGGGTGCAAAGCTTTGTGCTGTACGCCTTTGCTTTGATCTCATTTCCTCTTTTCTGAGAAGAAAGTAATGCTCAGAGTTGTATTGACAAAACAAACTGCTGAACTGATGTCAGTACCTGGCTTTACTAGCATATCTACTTATTGTGGGTCTGAGCAAAGCAGTTGAGGCTACGGGGCCTCAGTTTCTGTGTCAGCGAAATGGGAAAAATAGTGCCTGCTCACTTCATCGTCGCTCACCACGTGCATGGGTGAGACATGCAAGAATGAACAGCAGAACATTTTTCAGGAGAAGTAAAAGAATCCTCTTTTCTGGTCTTCATGCTTTCTGCCTGTTAGGTAGTCGTGGTTGTGAAAATGAGCGTGTTCAAGTCTACGGTCTACTAATAACTAGCTACGGGAGTTTAGGCCACCCACTTAACGTTTCTTTGGTTTTATTTATTTAAAGAAATAAGAGTGTTAGGCTGAATTAACTTGAGGATGCTCTTAATCTCTGAAATGTTTTGTCCTGAAATTTAGTAGGAGGTTGCGAGTGACTTCCCAAGGCACCAAATGCAGTGGGCTTTTTTCTGTCCTCATCTTTGTCGGATCCTCTGCCATATTTGATGTTGCCGACCTCCCTGTGCTTGGGTTGCCCTTGCTGGCTCTCCTGTTATTCTTCTGTTGGGTTCTTCTCTTCTCCTAACCCATATGTTTATTAAAAAGGGCCATTTTTCTCCTCTGTGAGCTAAACTGTCTGGTCATATCACTTGTCCATTTAAAAAATCATTTTATTGGTCTTTTATCTCCTCTTATTTTAGAAGCTCTTTATAGAAGTTTTGTCTTTGTTATCAGTTGCAAGTATTTTTTTCTTTGGTTTTTCATTTGTCGTTTTTACTTTGCTTTTGGTGT